GGCCACCCGCGCCCGTGCACACGCCACGCGGGCGGGCGCCGCGCCCTGCCCCGGTCGCGGCCAGGGGCGATGGCCAGGCCGCTCGCGCCCGTCCACCGCGGGGGGTCCCGCGCCGATCCTAGGGGGCCACATGCGAACCCTCCCCCTACCCCCCAAGATTTCCGAGGGGGAGGGTGGGGTTCACTTCGCTCGGGAGCTCCCGAACGAAGTGAACCCCGCGCTCCCCCTCGGAAATCGTGGGGGGGGGGTAGGGGTAGGGTTTGCATGTGGCCCCCTAGATCCGCTCCGACGTCGATGCGGGCCAGCCCGATGCGATCCGATGCTGAAAGAGAGGCTGGCGATCCTCGGCGTGCCGCACGGTGTTGGCACGTGGCGCGCTGTCGTGCATCCTCGCGCAGCCGATGCGGGTTCCGTGCCGATGCGGCCCGCTTCGACGCACAGCTCGATTCGAGGTGGACTGATCCTGTACTGTAGGCGGCAGGGCTGGTGCCGCGTCGACGCGGTGGACATGCCTCGCTGTTCTCGCTACTCGATCTCCCTTCCTCCTCGGCCGTGCTCATCGTCCTCGTCGGCCTCCCCGTCCGCGTGGACCTCCGCGACGTCCCCGTCATTCTCGTCCAGCTCGTCGTCCTCGACCTCCTCGTCGAGATGGAGTCGCTGGAACCTATTCCCGTTTCTGCCCCTCACTAGGCCCTCACTTCGGGGCGGTCTCGTGCACCCTGGCGCCCCGTGCAGCACCCAGGCCAGGCGCGCCGCGAAGCGCAACCCGGCTACGGGCCCGGGGGGCGTCGACGTCGACGAGGGTGCGATCGCTTCCGAGGAGGCTGGCGCCTTGCTGCGCCGCGCGTACTTAGTGGAGGCGTTGGCCTCGGAGAGCGGGAGCGATGCATGCAGCATCTGCTGGTAGAGGGGGGGGGCCTTAAGAGAGAATTGCAGGCTGCAGAAACCCTACCATTTAGCCTCTGGCATTCTGCCACGCCTCGACGTGCCAGGGGGCGCTGTGGCGGATCTGTATTGAAAAGAGTCGGAGGGGAGGAGGGCGGAGGAGGGAGGCGGAGGGAGGCGGAGGAGGAGGAGGAGAAGGAGGAGGAGGAGGAGGGGAGGAGGAGGAGGATGAGGAGGAGGAGGAGGAGGAGAGGAGCAGGAGGAGGCGGAGGAGGAGGGCGGAGGAGGAGGGGAGGAGGAGGAGGAGGAGGAGGGAGGAGGAGGAGGAGGCGGAGGCGGAGGAGGCGGAGGCGGAGAGGAGGAGGAGGAGGAGGAGGAGGAGGAGGAGGAGGAGGAGGAGGAGGAGGAGGAGGAGGAGGAGGATCAGCACGTGGTTGAGGGCGGAGTTCGATCCACCCTATGGCCTGCTGCTGACGGGCTAGAAATTCCGTCAGTTTGATTGGGGGGCAATTGTACTTGGAGGGGGTGGAAAGAGTTTCTCTGGGGTCTTTCCCCTTGCAGAGCAGATTCCACTGAGTTCGAGCACCTGGGCGCTTGAACCTTCCTCCACAGACTACACTTAGGCCCACGCCATTCGATTCACTGTAAAGGCCGCACAGAGCACATGCAATCATAATATTTGCACCTCTGGCCTCTTGTGAGACATATAGCTGATGGCCGAGAGGGTCAGCAGCTAGCACAGACAAATCTGTATGATGCCCTTTGCAAGCTTCTTCTCTGCGACTCGCAAAGCTGTTGAGTGCACATCTGGTCTTGCAGATGGCACAGATCCACTTCTCGTTCCTCCCCCACTCCCACACGTGGAGGAAGCGGGGGGGAGGAGGAGCCTCAGGGGCAGGAGGAGGAGGTGGGGTCGGTTGCTGCCACACAACAAGGGCGCTATGCGCTCCAGCAAGAACTTTCTGGGCGGCGCCCTTGTCCCTGGAATCAAAAGCTTTCTTGCTGGTCTTCGGTCCCACTGGCTCCCACATATTAAAACCATTGGCAACATAAATCAGCCACTTCTTGAGCAGCTTCCTTTGCTCCTCGACCTCCTCTACTTCTTCTGAGTTGGAATGTCAGAGCAAACACTGGGCACCTAATTTGGCAAACTTATCGGCGAAATCATTACCAGTGGCATCGAGCCACTCGGCCGATCCTCTAGGGATCGCCTCTCGATCCTCATGCGCTTATCTTCACACACGCAAGGTTATCATGCCACCCTCTGCTTCCGCGGGCGAGCATGGTGACTACAGCGTACTTGTGCTTCCTATAATACTGCTGGCAATTGTACACGTCTAAAATGCTTTGATAGTCCGTGATTATCTCAGATATAGTTCGGGGAGGGGCAGTGGCAGCAGCAGCAAGCACAGGGAGGCTGCTGCCCACTGGTCCGTAGACCGCTCCTTCGAGCTCGCCACTCTCGTCGATTACCACGGCGGCGAAACCCGCGGCGTGGAAACAGGAATGGCCCTGCTTCAGTCATGATCCGTCAGTGTAAACCTTGCCTTCAGAAACGTCTTGGAGAGTCTGCTCCTCCTTGAAACAAAATCTACAACTGTTAAGACTATTCCCGAGACCTTCAGGGGCATTCACCGGAACATCTGGCCCCATTTTGAAGCCTGCTTGGAAAGGAAACAACGGCAGGTGCTGAAGTTGGTCCATTTCATGCTGGGGAAACATTTTGTCTCTGAGCTGAGCTGTACACGGGCAACTCACTAGTCTATGGTGAAGATCATCGGTGGCGTGTCCACATTGGCACTGGGCCTCTGCGGGGTATCCTGCTTTTTTGAAGGCACGTGTGAGTCCAGAGGCCTTGGGTGAGGAACGCCTTGAGGGTATTCTTTTCGGGGTCCGTGATCTGCTTGGACTTTAGGAGCTCCTGAGCGACGCTGGTGTCCAACTGGCCCTCCAGGCCTAACGTTTGCGCAGCCTGTGTCCTGAGCTTCTGCGCCCAGACGTCCTGGAGCCAGTGCTGGAGGAGGGCAGGGGGGGTCGTGGTGAGGATGTGATTCTGGTTATTCTGGTCTACCACTGGTGATCGCTGCACCGAACGGGCCTCTGCACTGGTTCCACTTCTTTGGCGGACCTGCTAAGATGTCAGCGGCCATGGCACGAAGACCTGGGAGGTTGAAGCCAGGCGCGAACTCGCTCGTCATGGCTCTCCACACGAGCGCAGACCACAAGAGAATGGGCCCTACACCTGGTCGCCAGCAGGGGTCCTCAAATAGACACAGCGCGAGCGAAAACGAGCGAGTTGAGGTGGGCCACCGATTTTCAAGAATAACCTTTGAGACTGACGGAGTTCCACGTCGTCCATTCCAACCACCTCTGAACCGTAAAACCGGGCTTGACCAAAACCAGTATTGTAAAGCTTTAAAGTATTTCCACCAGCTCTATGAGACGCTCGAAACTTCGGGACCCTTGCTTTTAGCGTAGCACACCTGTCTCTTAGCTTGCTGCTGCAGATGTGTTTGCCTCTCTTTTGACCTGCTCGAAAATCAACTCCTAGATTAGCTGCGTGAGCTGGGGTAGATCCTGAGTACTTGCCCACCTGCTTAGCTAGCTTCTTCGGGATATCCACTGAGGTCGCAAGCACCGCGGACTTGGTGACTGCGACCGGACATTCCAACTCGAACTGGATGGCCCACAGCATGCTAGCGGCCGCTCTCCTCAGTTCCGTGATGAGGGTGGCCTTGCATTTGTGGGAGAAGAGGAGGAGCAGATCGTCGACAATCATATGGAGGGACTTTTGGCACGTTCGAGGTCCAAATATCCAATGGTTACAGACATTACATCTGGACCAGGAACGTTGCAAAGCTGCAGCCTGCTGGGATACCTTTCGACGTAGAACCTGCATATGATGTTTTATTGTTTAACGTTATCATGCGCTGACTCTGATGTTGGTTCATGATGGTGGACATGATGACCCCATTAAATCCCGATTCGCAAGCTCTGTTAGGAAGCTTTCCTCTATTGACATGTTCGTAATCAATTATTGAATCCCACATGATGCAGGCAGTGTGGAGGGAGGGGTCCTTGGTGGCGCCGCTCTCTGCCTGGAGCGACTGCTGGTGCACTAGCGCGAGGGTTGACCTTCCTGCTTGATGCGCAAGAAAACTTCTGCGATGCCGCTGCTCCCATCTTCTTGCTTCAGCTTGACGAATTCGGGCCCGGATCCGATACGTACTTGGCATAAGTCCTATGCCTCTGTAGGAGGGCTCTTCACCTGATGGCTTATGTTTGGGGATGAGGGCTGTTATTGCTGCAAGAAGCTGGGTCGGCATGCTACCAACGCGCTCCACGACGTTGAGGAGCCTGCAGAACTGCTCCTGCTGCTGCAACGACAAGAGGGCGAAATGCTTGGGGGTGGAGTCCATCCCAAGTCTCTGCCGTAGCGTGACTAAACTTCTTCAAGGCCTGCTTGAGCTCTCATGGAGTAATGCGAGGGGGAGCTTCAGCAGCCTGGTGGTCCGCTAGGGCTCTTGCTTGAGGTGCCGTCTTGGAGCCCCAGATGGATGTGAGACGCCGAACTTCCGCATTCAACAATTCAGCCGGGCAGCCCGAGAATTCTCCAGCTTGAGTTATCACCTGTGTAGGTTTCCAATGCTGATTTTCCTCGGTCCATCTGTGGGCCCAGCCACCCCCCGAAGCCATCTTTTCGTTAACCCACTGCTTCCAAGTCGTACTGGCGTTCTGACCTTCAGAATATTTCTCGTTTGCCAAACACTGAAGCACTGATGTGTGCTGTTCCCGAGCTATTGCTCTGGCTGCTTCTGCTATCCCCTCTTTGCCCCTGCCCTTATAACGTCCTGCTGCCGCGCTTTCCACGAGGCTGCGCGCACTGCTGAGCATGGTTCTCAACTTGATTAGAGGCCTCCTGGATGGGGTCCTCCTCCTCCTCCTCCTCCTCCTCCTCCTCCTCCTCCTCCTCCTCCTCCTCCTCCTCCTCCTCCTCCTCCTCCTCCTCCTCATTGGAAGCAAACAACTCCTGCGACGGCTCGGGCAACTGCTGCAACAACTCAGGGGGCGCGTCCAGATCCGACTGGGAGAGAGTGCGCTGCACCTCTAACATCTGGTTATGCAGCCAGTGCGTCTGCCTCCAGACAGGCTTCCATTCAGCTCGGTGTTGGCTCTCTGCAGCGTTTGCCGACAACCAGAGGATCTTTGGGGGCCCACAGCGAAGCCCTGCTCCACGAAGGGGGGTGTTGGTCACTCTGCTGATGGTGACTTCCACTTCAGAAGCCAGCACATCATACGCTCTGTCCAGGGCGGCTTGTTGGGTCTCTGGGGCCTCCGAAACCAAAATCTGCTCCGCGGTGTCCAGGGCAGCCGATGTTTTTATCCAGAATTGGGAAGCGCCCTGTGGGAGCTTCCGGGGCTTGCTGAGGACTGGTATTATGAGGCTCGACCCCACGGCCATGCTGAAGTCGACGGGGCGATGCGGCGAGAGGGGGTACTGCTTGAGAACCGAGATCGCCTGCGCCGAACTTTTGAGGCACGAGCTCATCATAAGAAAGTCAATATTACTTCGAGTCGTGCTGGTGAACATTGTGTATCCTGCTGGGTACGCTGTCTTCATGCCAGCACGCTCTAAAAATCCTGGCCCTGCGATCGTCGATGGGGCCATGTTGAAATCGGCCCCGACAAAAACAGGCATGCGATATTTCTGTTGAAACCATCCTGCCGTAGCGAGAAGGTGCAGATAAGTGTTGTTGAGGCCCTCGGAGGCCTCGAAGTACATGGACAAAAAACGATTGGACGATGCTGTGGCAATTCTAGAATGGCAGCGGCAGCACGGCTGTAAGGAATATAGACAGGAAGAGGTGCAGGTTGGACTCCGATGTTGAGACCACTGCGGACTAGGATGCACGTGCCGCTGCTGCTGCAGCCGTTGTCGCCGACGTCGCAATCTGAGATGACTGAATGCCAGCCTCGGCCCTCGCACCATTGAACTGCTTGTGCCGCCTTGTCGCCACAGAGTTTGACCTCCTCAGCGCAGATTACTGCAGTATTTATTCTGAATTTCATCTGATTGAACTAGCTTCTGTACTGATGCCCAACAACTCCCGTTGATGGTGATGATGTCGAGCTGCTTGTTGTTACCCGCCATGCGGTCCTCCTGGGGGACCTTTCCCAGCGGCCTTCGCCGCCTCGGTCGCCTTGATGAGCGCCGCTCTGGCCTTCTTTGTCTCCTGGTCGGAGGGCTCCACCGCGATGGTGCCGAGAGCCTGAGCGAGCGCCGCCTGCTCGCTGTGGAGTCTCTTCTGCTCCTTCTGCTTCGTAGACTCTGTGGCGTCTATGCCATCATCCTCGCACTCGCCGACCGTGGGGACGTTGTCTGGCTCCTCAGACGCCTCTTCCGCGGCCGCCGCTGGCCGTGCGCCAGCCGCGGGGACCCGGCGGGCCGTTTGCCAGTGTGGCAGACTGCGGCGGAGGCTGGCTGGCAACTTCCACGACGGCTGCGCTCTCCTGCTGCGCTGCCTGCTTGCTGCTCGCCTCCAGCGCGCAGACCTGCTGCTGGATGTGAACAGGCGCGCCCGTGACAGGCCCTTGCTGCAATTGCTCCATGAGCTGGTTGAGCGCTGGGAACGGGCTGGTCGTGTTTGGCATGGGCGTGGCTGCAGCCACGGAATGCACAGCGATCGCGTGCTGCGCCTCCAGCTGCGCCGCCCCCTCTCGCGCCGTAGTGATGTTGGACTGCAGGTCCGAGTACTCATCAGCGAGCTTGGATATCCCCGCGAGCTTCTCGGATGCCTGCAGCTCCGCCTTGGTGATCCTCTCCTTGGTCCTCTCGATCTGGTCACGCAACGACTGAGCCTGCTGATCGAGCGGCTTGGCCTTGAGCACCGACTGTTTGGCAACTTTGAGCTGTTGCACGGCCGCCTCGTAAATGATGCCTCCGACACCTTCTCGCTCTTTCCAAAACTGCACCAGGTCCTGGTAGGTCGAGACTTGGTCCTGGTCCGTGGTGGTCGATGAGGCTGCCTTATCGTCGTGTTGGGAAGCTTGGTCATGCTCGCCCTGCCTGTCATTCGAACGAAGGCCCCTGGCCGCATGATTTCCTCCCTTCCAACGATTGGCCCCTTCAGGCACAGGCGGCAGAGAACCTCGGTCTTCTCCGCGTCCTCTGCCTCGACCTCGGAACTGCTTCCCTCACAGACCGCAGAACTGACCGATGTCGCGCAGTAACCCCGGCCACCGCACTTGGGGCTGGAAGAGGAGGAAGAGGAGGAGGAGGAGGAGGAGGAGGAGGAAGAGGAGGAGGAGGAGGAGGAAGAGGAGGAGGAGGAAGAGGAGGACGAGGAGGAGGAGGAGGAGGAGGAGGAGGAGGAAGAGGAGGAGGAGGAGGAGGGGAGGAGGAAGAGAGAGGAAGAGGAGGAGGAAGAGGAGGAGAGAGGAGAGGAGGAAGAGGAGGAGGAGAGGAGGAGGAGGAGGAGGAGGAGGAGGAGGAGGGGAGGAGGAGGAGGAGGAGGAGGAAGAGTACTCCCGCTTCTGCGGTCTGCCACGCTCTCCTCCCCTCGCCCTGTTGCCGATGCCCCTCCCACGCGAATCAGAAGAGCAGCGCATGGCGGCGGGAATCTGCTGGAGGAGAGATGGTGCGTGGGGAGATAGGGCTTCTGGAGCCCTTGAGCCGAACTGGCTAGAGGAGGAGGAGGAGGAGGAGGAGGAGGAGGAGGAGGAGGAGGAGGAAGAGGAGGAGGAAGAGGAGGAAGAGAGGAGGAGAGGAGGAGGAGGAGGAGGAGGAGGAAGAGGGGAGGAGGAGGAGGAGGAGGAGGAGGAGGAAGAGTACTCCCGCTTCTGCGGTCTGCCACGCTCTCCTCCTCTCGCCATGTTGCCGATGCCCCTCCCACGCGAATCAGAAGAGCAGCGCATGGCGACGGGAATCTGCTGGGAGGAGAGATGGTGCGTGGGGAGATAGGGCTTCTGGAGCCCTTGAGCCGAACTGGCTAGAGGAGGAGGAGGAGGAGGAGGAGGAGGAGGAGGAGGAGGAGGGAGGAGGAGGAGGAGGAGGAGATGGAGGAGGAGATGGAGGAGGGAGGAGATGGAGGAGGAGGGAGGAGGGAGGGGAGGTCCGAAGGCCTCCAAGAGGCCTCCGAGGCTCGCGCCCCCTCCCCCCAGAGGCCGAGCACGGCCCTCCTCTGCGCTCTCGCTGGGGCGCAGCTCGCGCGGTGCTCCTCCGAGGTGGAGCAGGTCCGCGCCGCTGCCGCCGCCGTCGCCCGCCGCCGCCGGCCTCCGCCGTCACCGCCGCCTCCGTCGTCACCGTGACCGTCACCGTGACCGTCACCGTGACCGTCGTCGTCGTCGTCGTCGTCGTCGTCGTCGTCGTCGTCGTCGTCGTCGTCGTCGTCGTCGGCTTCGTCGTCGTCGTTGTCGGCTTCGGCTTTGTCATCGTCGTCGTCTTCGTGTTCGTCGTCGTCGTCTTCGTGTTCGTCGTCGTCGTCGTCTTCGTCGTCATCGGCTTCGTCGTCGTCGGCTTCGTCGTCGTCGGCTTCGTCGTCGACGTCTTCGTGTTCGTCGTCGTCGTCGCCGCCGCCGCCGCCGCCGTCGTCGTCGTCTGCGTCGCAGTCGTCACCGTCGTCGCCGGCGCCGGCGCCGCCGTCGCCGTCGCCGTCGCCGTCGCCGTCGCCGTCGTCGTCGCCGTCGGCGTCGCTGTCGTCGTCTTCGTCGAGGGTCGAGGTTTTTGCCCGTTTCTGCTAAATTTTGGGCCCCCGAGAGGCCCGCAGAGGAGTATTGGGGGACTTCGGAGGCCTCCAGAGATTTTTTGCTGGTGTGGATCTGCGAGAGGCGGCCAATTATCCGATTTCCATGATTTGAAAGAGGATTGCGAAGCGACTGCCGCGAGTATCTCACCTGGTCTCCCCGGAGAAGAACAAAACATACGCACACGCTTTCGGAGGTCCGCGTGGATTTCTTTGGTCGGTTCCCTCCTGGCGGCGCCTCTGGCGCGCTCCGCGCGCAAGGGAGGGTTCCTGGCGGCGATCCAAGAGACCTGCGCGGACCTCCGAACCTTCATGCGCATGCCGATTCTTACTGCATTAGTGTTTGAAGAAGGGTGGGCACGGCAAATGCTGCACATGTCTGCGTTGTTATTCGTGCACGTGCGACCCCATTCGAATGAACGGGCCTGTCGCACATTACGTCGTTTCCTTCTCTCGGGGCGAGACCGATTCCGAAGTAAGGGGAGTGCTGCAAATTGTTGGTCTATTCGCACGCAGGCAGTGCCAGCACGTGAGCGCACCTGTTACAGGAGGGAAGGCATTTGGGTAGCGATAGAACAACGCATACATCCTACATAGGCGCGCGTCGCAGCTGGAAATTAGATAAGCGACTGGCGGCAGCAGCAGATCCATTGATGGATGTGCTTCATTACGTTTGTGAGTGTGAGATCGAAAGCGCGTTCAATCAACGAATCGCTACTTGTTACATGCATGGTTACTTCAGTAATCGTGGGTTGAACAAGTTTTTTTCGAAAAGGCCCCGAGGCATTCCAGCTCCCATCTTCGCATACAACGGCAAGCCTGATGCAACACTTTGTTACTGAACCTGATACCGGCTGCAAAGGGAGAGGGGGGATATCGATGAGGAGGGTGAGGAGGAGGGGGAGCGAGGAATGAGGGGAACAAGGGCGGGTGGAGGATGGCGGGAATGAAAGAGGGAGGACGACGAGGGAGGGAAGGAGGACGGGAGGAGGGATGTGTAGAGGAGGAGCAAGCAGTAGTGGAGTTGGATGTTGGAGGTGGGGACATGGAGATGGGATGAGGATGACGATGATGATGATGGTGATGATGATTATGATGCTGATACTGATGGTGGTGGTGGTGGTGGTGGTGGTGAGGATGATGATGGCGATGATGACGACGACGATGCTGCTGATGACAATGACGATGCTGCTGATGATGACGATAACGATGATGACGACGACGACGACGACGACGATGATGATGATGATGATGATGATGATGATGATGATGGTGGCGTTGGTGGCGATGATGGTGATGGGTCTGATGATGCTGATGCTGATGCGGCTGATGACGATGATGACGATGATGATGATGGTGATGATGATGATGATGATGATGATGATGATGATGATGATGATGATGATGATGATGATGATGATGATGATGATGATACCGACGACGATGCGGATGATGATGCAAATGCTGATGCTGATGCTGATGCTGATGGCGTTGTTGTTGTTGTTATTGTTGTTGTTGTTGTTGTTGTTGTTGTTGTTGTTGTTGTTGTTGTTGTCGTTATCGTTGCTGTTGTAGTTGCTGCTGTTGCTGGTGGTTGTTTGTTGTTGTTGTCATTGATGGTGTTGCTATTGTAGTTGCGGCTGCTGCTGCTGTTGTTGGTGGTGTCGGTGGTGGCGGTGGTGTTGGTGTTGTTGCTGCTGCTGTTGGTGTTGTTGGTTTTGTTGTGGTTGTTGTTGCAGTTGATGTCATTGTGGTTGTTGTGGTTGTTGTTGTTGTTGCTGTTGTTGCTCTTCTTGTTGTTGTTGTTGTCGTCGTTGTTGTTGTTGTTGTTGTTGTTGTTGTTGTTGTTGTTGTTGTTGTTGTTGAACACTATTACTTCTAAAGAATTATTATTGTTGGACCCCCTGGTGCACGCCCCCCGCCCAAAACCTAGGCCGCAGCTACATTTTCATCATTTTTCTGCGAAAGCTTCAGAAAAGTGGATTACCCCCGGATCCGGTTTTTTGTTGACGCTCGTTTTCCCTTGCAAAAAACAATAGAAAATGAAAATTCTTGTTCTTAGTTGATCAAATTTCAAGAATCCCTTGCAAAAAATAAGGTAAAGTGGACATTCGCGCTCGCAAGACGAAATCCTTCCAAAACCTTAGGTTTCGTAACGATTTTAACATAAAAACATCAAAAACCCAATGGTTTTTTAAGAAAAAATTGTCAAAATGTCCTTCCGCGCGCTCTTGCGGATTCATAGGAAACACACCACTTTTTAAACATTTCTGTCAAAAGGGTCTTTGCGTGCTACTTCTTCAGGTGCTTTGAACTTCTCCAACAACGGTTGCGCGCCTGCGAGGGCCACCATCCCTTGCAAAAAATGAGACGAAGTGCACATGCGCGCGGCCGCCGCGCGCGCATGTCGAAATCCTGCCAAACACAATGGGTTTTCAATAATTTCAAGATGCGATGTTCAGAAAACATATGAAAACGCACTACTTTCTCATCCGAAAAATCTCGAAATCCATTCGCGGTCTCTTGATGAATCTTTAAAACCCAAGATGGCCCCAACAGGCGCGCAAGATGGCCCCAAGAGGCGTCCATGAGGCCCAAAGAGGCGCCCAAGATGGTCCCAAGAGGCTTCAAGAGGACTCCAAGAGGCCCCCAAGAGGTTCCAGAGAGGCTCCAAGGTGGCTCCAAGAGACCCCCAAGATGGCCCCAGGAGGCGTTCTAGAGGCCCCAAGAGTCCGCCGTGAGGGTCCAATAAGCCCCCAAGAGGCCCCAAGATGGTTCCAAGGAGCCCCCCAAAGGCTCTCAAGTGGACCCCAAACCGCGCCAGGAGGCTTCCCCCCTTCCTGTTTGCGAAAGCAGGAGAAAGTATGGCACCCCTTTGTGTCCAGAGCCGCGCCGTCTGCGTTCTTCCTTTCTCGCTTCTCTCCTTTCCTCCTTGTCCTGCTCCTCCTCCCCCTCTTCCGCCTTGGAGCCGTATTGGAACTGTCGATGGCCATCTCCCTTTCTCCCTCGCATGTCTGCTTGTACATACGTATAATTTCAGAACTTACCGTGCATGCGATCGTTTACAACATGGTGGACCGTGCGTATGTCACGAACCTTGTATACATGTGTTTCTCTCCCTCCGTCTGGCTGTGCACGCGCGCGTTGGGCACTGAGAGTTAGGATCATAGCGCCATGAGTCTATGAGCAATGCATGCGTCATCCTTGGGACTGTATAACATCAGTGTAACACATGTACTTCTGTAATCGCATCCCCACGAATTTGCCCCAAAAATGTGACCAACTATCTTGGCACTGCGTACCATCTCACGTGTACCGTGTACCACATCATATGTAACAGATGTGATCAACCTCTGTGGGTGTGTACCCCACGCCAGTGTAGTAGCCAGGGTCGTCCGCACGCCACGAAGTGAAGTGTCCCAACGTCATAGGGCGGGAAGCTGGGTGTGGGTGGTCTCGAAGAGTCGTTTGGATATTTGGTAGAGCTTGAACGGCCCCCCCACGAAGTGGGGGTATTGGCTGGTGTCGCAAGAAAACCCTGGCACTGGGGAGAACACAGCGTTCGGGTAAAATGATTGTTGTTGTTGTTGTTGTTGTTGTTGTTGTTGTTGTTGTTGTTGTTGTTGTTGTTGTTGTTGTTGTTGTTGTTGTTGTTGTTTGTTGTGTTGCTGCTGCTGCTATTATTGTTGCTGAATGTGCTGCTGGTGTGGCGGTTGCTGCTGGTGTTGTTGGTGCTGGTGGTGCTGCTGCTGTTGCTGTTGGTGTTACTGTTGTTGTCGTTGTTTGTGTTGCTGATGTTGTTGTTGGTGATGGTGGTGTTGGTGCTGGTGCCGTTGTTGTTGGCACTGCTGCTGCCGTTGTTGTTATTGTTGCTGGTGCTGCGGCTGCTGCTCTTGTTGTAGTTGTTATTGAGGTTGTTGTGAGTGTTACGGTTGTTGTTGGTGGTGTCGCTGTTGGTGCTGTTGGTGTTGTTGTTGGTGTTGTCGGCGTTGTTGTGGTTGCCGCTGTTGTTGGTGTCGTTTTTTTCAATGTTGTCGTTGCTGTTGGTGGTGGTGCTGTTGGTGCTGTTGTTTTTCTTGTTGGTGCTGCTGTTGCCGTTGGTGTTGGTGTTTGTGTTGCTGTTGGTGCTGCGGCTCTTGTTGTTGCTGCTGTTTGTGTTATGGTCACCGCTGCTGCTGTTGTTGGTGTTGCTGATGATGGTGCTGCCGACGTTGATGTTAATCCCACTGGTGATGAGGTGACGATGATGCGGCTGCTGCTGTCGCCGCTGCTGATACTGTCGACGAGACGAGAAGGAGGATGGGAGAAGGACGAGAGCGAGGAGGAGGAGGAGGCGGGCGAGGAGGATTGGGAAGATTTGGGTGAGGATGCTGCTGATGATGCTGAGGATGATGATGGTGGTGGTGTTGATGATACTGATGATGATGCTGATACGGATGCGGATGCTGATGTTGATGCTGATGATGCGGATGATGTTGCTGACGACGATGTAAATGCTGATGCTGACGATGAGGACGATCCGTATTATGGGTATGATGATGCCTATGCAGATGGTGGTGAGGCTGCGGACGGTGAGGACGATGACAAGGAGGAGGCTGATGAGGAGGAAGATGGGGGGAGGAGCAGGAGGAGGAGGGTGGCTGGGGAGGAGAAGTGTGGACGAACGGGAGGGTGTTGAGGCTGAGGGGAGGACCGATGCAAGACATGAATATGCGGTGAGGACGGGGGGGAAGTAGGAGGACGAGTGTGGATGGATGGGGGAGGAGGGTTGTGGGAGCATGGAAGATGAGACAGAGGAGGAGGAGGAGGAGGAGTGTGGATGGAGTCGTGGGGAAGGAGGAGGGAGAAACAGGTGGATGGAGAGGAGGAGTGGGGAGCAGAGTAGCGGGGGAGATAATGGGAGAAGATGGGTGATGTGAAACGGTGTGGACGGTTCGGGGGAGGAGGATATGCGTTTTGTCGCTTTTTCGCGTGCCAGCTGAAGATGACACCTCGCTGCTGTCGATCCATGGCTGGGATTTAGCCTGTTAGCCCCCGACTGCTAGGCCAAGAACGCAGCTGCAGAATAAGCCTGAAGGCCGAGAGGAGGCGAGGAATCGAGGTACGGGAGGCGATCGTTGCATTCGATATCTCGCTTGTAGCGGGTGTTGATTTGTTTAGGGGTCCTATCCAAGCCTTCGTTTGTGCCCCAGTGTGGTTGGTGACGAGAAGGGGCATGAGTGTGGATCGAGGGGGGCGAAACATGAGAGGGAGGCCGAGGATGCGGAGGAGTAGCAGGATGAGGATGATGAGGGAGTGGCGATCAAGGTGAAGTGTAGGAACACGAGGATGACCAGGGACATGGGGGATGGGGGGTGGGGAGGGGCACGACGAGGAGGATTGTGGCGCTTCCCCCCCCGAGGATGCTGAGGCTGATGCTGATGATGAGGATGATGATGATGATGATGCTGATGCTGATGATGATGATGCTGATCAGGATGCTGATGATGCTGATGATAATGCTGATGATGGCGATGATGCTGCTGCTGATGATAATGCTGATGGTGATGAGGATGATGTTGATGATGATGATCATGCCGACGATGCTGATGCTGATGAGCACGATGATGTTGGCGATGGTGATGATGCGGCTGATGATGGTGATTATTCTTATGTTGGTGTTGATGATGCTGTCGATGATTATGATGATTGTGATGCAGATGACGATGATGCCGATGATGATGATGATGCTGATGCTGATGCTGCTGATGATGCTGCTGATGATGACGATGCTGATGAGTATGATGATGCTGACGATGGTGATGACGATGACCATGCTGACAATGATGATGATTTATGAGGATGGTGGGGACGATGCTGATTGTGATGACGATGTCGATGGTGGTGATGCTGCTGATGATGATGACGACGATGCTGACACTAAAAATCATACTGATGATGATGTTGATGATGATGATGATGATGATGATGCTGATGCTGATGATGATGATGATATTGCTGATGATGCTGGCGATGCGGATGATGTCGCGGATGATGATGACGATGCTGCTGTTGATGCTGATGTTGATGCTGATGCTGCTACTGGTAATGATGTTGATGCTGCTGCTGCTGATGATGATGCTGATGAATGTGATTATGGTGATTATGGTGATTATGGTGAGGCTGATTATGATGATGCTGACCATGATGCTGATGATACTGCTGCTGCTGATGATGCTGACGATGATGCTGCTGCTGATGATGATGGTGATGTGATGGTGATGATGATGCTGATGATGATGACGATGATGATGCTGATGCTGATGATGATGATGATGATGATGATGATGACGATGACGATGACGATGCTGATGATGACGATGATGACGACGATAATGTTGATGATGATGACGATGATAAGGATAATGATGATGATGATGATGATGATGATGATGTTGATGATGATGATGATGCTGACGATGCTGATGATGCTGATGATAATGATGATGATACTGATGATGACGATGATGACGATTATGACGATGATACTGATGATGCTGATGCTGATCATTATGATGATACTGCTGATGATGCTGATGATGCTGACGATGATGATGATGATGATGATGATGATGATGATGATGATGATGATGATGATGCTGCTGATGGTGCTGATGATGATGCTGCCGATGATGACGATGCTGATGATGCTGATGATGCTGCAGATGCTGATGATCATGATCAGTATCGTGATCATGATGATGCTGCTGATGATGATGATGATGATGATGTTGATGGTGATGATGATGATGATGATGATGCTGATGATGATGATGATGATGAATGTGATTATGGTTATTATGGTGATTATGGTGATGATTATGCTGATGATGATGATGATGATGATGATGATGATGATGATGATGATGATGATGATGTTGATGCTCATGCTGCTGCTGCTGATGATGTTGTTGATGATGATGATGATGATGATGATGATGATGATGATGATGATGCTGATGATGATGATGATGATGATGATGTCGACGATGATGATGGTGATGATGATGATGATGATGATGATGATGATGATGATGCTGATGCGGCTGATGACGATGATGATGATGATGATGATTGATGATGATGATGATGATGATGATGATGATGAGATGCTGATGCTG